TTTTGCTTTCTGCTTTTGATTCTGTGTAATTGGTTAAACACAAGTTCATGATCTGTCGTCCCTGTACTTGAACCTCTCACCAACATAAGGACTCCTGATGCATTGACTGCTTTTTGCCTGTAATTCTACCTTGCCGGGATCAATAGTATCATTGTGGCCTATTTTTTGTTTATTTGCAGATGAATTTCTGTCCAGTGCTTTATTTTTTAATGTTTAAAGCAAATGACAAGGTAGGTAAAAGCATATAATTGTTAAGATCCACCCTTGAATCTTTTTTAATATGGGCGTTTAATCTATTTATACATGATATTAAATTAAGTTGGTCTTCTGACACATTATGCTTTTTTCTTAGGTTTTGCTCTTTCTGCCTCCCGCTAAATGGCAATGTGGTATTTCCTTTTATCTTCCACAGTGATGTAAACATGATATGGCCTGTGTTTTTGTAATTAAACAATTATTATAAAAGCAATACACTGCAGACAAATCAGAAAGATAAGGAAAATGAAATGAAACATATTCAGAATCCTACCTACCCATAGATGCCCTCTGTAAACATGTTTGTATCTATCTTCCCAAATGTCTTCCCAATATGTAAGCACATCTGTATACAAACACACAATAGAATCCTCTAGAGATGTCATGCTTCTCATGGCTACTTCACCTTTGCCGCATTTTATACACTCATCAATTACCCAAATATTTGTGCTTTCTAACGCTGTCTTCCCAGATAGATAGGAAGCAGTCTAAGGTAAGGGGTTTCACCTATTTTGTTTACTCTTATATGCCGAGCTGCCCGTCGTTTAGGGCCTTTCTGGGTGTACTTTCTCCTAACTCAACTTTTTGAAATACATTAAAAAAACCACACAACCATTCCCAGCATGTGCTCCTAGCAGGGCTCTTCTCGCCTCAGCTTCCACCTACAGTGCTGTACCTGCGACCCACAGGCTCGCCTCCGTGGACGGCATCAGTCTTCTCTGCCTCCTTCCCTATGGTTTGCTGGGGGTTTTGGAACTGATGTCACCGAAGGAAAAAGCAAGAGGTAGAGCTTGGCCAAGCCACGAATGACCATACTTCATGGGGATCAGGGTATACTGGCAAAAACGAACCACGGGGGGCTTTTTCCGGTATACGTGAGAGAGACTTGCATATATTTATAAGTGCTCCGAGGCTGATCCAGGGAATGGGGAGGGCTCTAGGGTACGGAGGACATGCAGACCAGGGCCCACCTTTGGAATGCAGGGCGGACAGTTTGCTTCCGCTCCCTCGCAATGTGATGTTTTCCCTGTTTTGTCCAGCAGCTTGGATGGAATTGAACCTTTTCAGACAAAGGGATTTATTTCCTTTTCCCCTTATATCTTAAACCTCTCCCCTCAGTGCTGATAGCACCCCTAAAGCCAGAGAACGTGGCCCTGTAACACCAGAGTTGCCTCTAGTATAGCAGTGAGAGTGGGCAAGCTCGTCTGAGGATGTGCTCACTGTGGAGAGCTGCTTTCAGGGTTCAACTTCACCAAGGTAAAACAGGGGAAACATCGGGAGTCCTCAACCTCGGAGGACTTATAAATATAAGCAAGTCCCAGCACCACGCTGTAGAAACAGCCCCAGAAACTTAAACACACCTCATTTATTCAGCCAACTGTGACTACAGTTCCTTATGCAGCTTGAAAAAGCAGCACTTTTCCTCCCATCATCACTGTTCCTAGTCATGAGGTTTAATTTTTAATTTCTAATATTATTACAGAAGGGCATGGCTTTTTCATGCTTACAGAGGGAGTCTGTATGGTCAGGCCACCCAAGATGGCTGTTCTCTTGCTCTCTGTACATCCCCCTGCTGGGCCAGTGCCTGCTTCATCTAATCTTTAGCAAACATCTCCACCTGATAGCTCATCAAAGGGGAGGTGAGGGGCGTGCCCCTCGGCTGGTTTCCCTGGTAACTGATGAGCCAACCTGATGTCAATTTCCACTATAACTGGGAACCTCCCCCTCTCCTGGGGAGCGAAGCCTGCCGCCATGTCCTGCCCGCCGGCCGCCGCACACAGTGGGGTGTTGCTCCAGGGCCTTGCTTCAGACAGGTAAGCCCCCCCGCCCATTAAACCATGATGTCTCCGTCGCCGACTCTGGGCCCTTTCTTTGGTCTTGTAGCTGGGCAAGTACAGGCCTTGTAGGCCTGCGGGGTGCATCCCAGTTGGTAGAGCCAGCGGGGAGACCGAGGAAGCTCCTGTGAGCGCCGAGACGTCAGGAAATAAGGACGCGCAACGGAACGTTGCAGGGGCGTCACCTAGCATGAGGGGCCTGAAAGTTCCAGGGGTGATCCTGAAAGTTGCAGGGGAAATCCCGGGGTGGCCGTCCGCTAGTATGTGGGGCCCTAGGGTGGCTGGCCTTGATGAATGGGGCTGCCAAGACAGTACCGAGGACTCATAGTCACCCCAAGGCCATGGCGGAGATATTGGCGCCATTACGGTGGGAAAACGAAGTGGCCGCAGCTGTGGGGTGGCAGGTGCGTTTTATACCGAGAAAGGCCACGGAGGCCGAGCTAACAGCTGAGGTGAAGGTTAACTTGAACGCCGGTTGTTTCTCCTCTGAAAGTGAGGCATGTGCATGTGAGTGACTGATACGTGTTATTATTGCCTCTTACTGTTGTTTAAACTAAATTGGCTTTTTAGAAACTGAAAAAAAAATCCCTGAAAATATCCACGATGGGACTCTTTTGACATTCTAAAACTGGTTTTTGCATATGCCCTTAGAGGAAGTTAGCTTTCTAGAAGGAATTGGTATTTCTCTTCCTGTGCCTTTGCGATGTAAATGATCTACCTGGGCTCTCTGGAACTTTAATCACCTTTTATGTTTTTTTAAAAAAATTGAAGTAGAGTTGATTTACAATGCTGTGTTAGTTTCAGGTTTACAGCGAAGTGATTCAGGTATACATTTATCTATTCCTTTTCAGAGTCTTTCCCATTAGTTTATTGTAAGATGTTGAATATAGTTCCCTGTGCTATACAGTAGGACCTTGTTGTTTATCTATTTTATATAGAGTAGCTTGTGTCTGCTAATCCCAAACTCCTAATTTATTCCTCCTCCCCGCCTTTCCCCTTTGGGACCCATAAGTTTGTTTTCTATGTCTGTGAGTCTGTTCATTTGAACCTTTTTTTTTGGGATTCCACACTGAGTGATATCATACGATATGTCTTTCTGTGTCTTACTTCACCTAGTATGATGATCTCAACATGGGTCCACCCATGTTGCTGCAGATGGCATTATTTCATTCAAAAAGAGGCCTTTTAAAATTTTAGCAGGAAAACTGTGAGATCTCTTTGTCTGTATATGTAAATGTATGTCTCTGCGTACCTTATAAATATGAAGTGTCTGCTTCCAAATGGCGTTGCCAAGATTGGTTTGTGGATGAGCTGTTTAATTGGCTTAAAAGAAATTAAACGCTTATGTAAATTCTCAGAAATGTAAAAAAGACTGGCTTGAATGAATTTCAGGTTCACGTGGCCTGGGAAATGTTCAGTACTGATTTGGTATCTGGTATTGAAGCTAGCTTAAGCTTGTTGGTTTGATTAACATAGACGTGTCTTTAGAATCATCAATATTAAGTATAACACTTCTGTTGTACCTAGGTTTACTAGAGATCAAATAACACCGTACTGTATCTGTTGCAAATACGTCAGCAAGGAAAATAACTTGATATGATGAAACTTTAGGTAAACATAAATAAGAGCTTTTAGGTAAACTCTATAGGAATAATTACATTTTGGGAAGGTCTATCTAAAATAGTCTTTCCAGATTTTGGTAACTTGCAGCTAAACCAAGTTAAGAGAATTCACTGACTACCTGCGTCATTTCAAACAGGATAAAATACTGGAACATTAATTGCTGGGCAGATCTAAATTTACCTACCTTTGCTTTCTTAGGAGAGGAAGACTAGAGCGTAAGTTTTCCAATCAGGAAATGCTGGTATGACAAACAGTTCACAGTTACTTGCTCCTTGGTTTTTGCTGGTGATTAAGGTTTTCAAGGGTTGAGATTATCATTGGTCATAATTCTAGTTATTGTAACCAAGTTTCTTTATGGATTACATTGTAGTCAGATGTTTAACCGCGCCTTTTAAAGTCTTCTGTCATTTATAGGAAGTTATTGTACTCTGATGCTTTTGCAAAAGAGTTTCATCTTCAAGATGATCCATAGGAAGGCCCTTTTGACAAGTACAGGCCTCTGATAAATTTTAGATCATACTACTGAACTGGGTAAGATATTAAAAAATCCTAATGGAAAACTTGAGGCTTCATAAAAAGTTAATGGATCGGTTACTGAGTGAACTGGTGAATATGGTTATAATTTTTATGGTTTTTGTCTGGAATATTACTGGTTTTGATCTGTGTTTTCCAGATATAGGGAAGTCCTTCCCCTCAAGTTAGTTTTGGGTAGAATGGAAACATTTTTCTCTTCTCTCTGCCTGGTCTCTCCAGACACTGGAGACTCTTGGGTTCTGAGCAGCCTTATCAGGTGAATGGGAAAGACTGTCTCCTGGCATGTGCAGGAATCACGATGTTTTAGGGATTCTCTAGAAGAGAGAAATCCACTGAGGTGCAGGCTAATAGCAGGCCTTTGGCATGGCTTTCCTGGCTTTGAGAGGCCTTTTGGGAATTCAGTCTGAGACTACTTCTGAATTCCACCACAGCCAGTTAGGAGGACCCTATGTGGTCAATTGACCAGACTTACTCTGTAAACAAATTTAGTCTTGATTTGGCTGTGTTTCACGGGAGATGAGGGTAATTTTAGAGAGGAAAATATGTTTCAGTGGATGTTAAATTCTAGTTCTGCTAATTGTCTGCATTAATGAAAGTTATTGTGTTAGCCATACTTTTGCCTTGATATTCAGGATGGAGAGAGAATTCTCTAGTGAAGTTGTCACAGAGTATAACTACTCATGACATGTATTACTGCTTGCTCTAAGTCTTCAAGCAAGTAAAATCAAATCTGAGGCTCTGACATTAATGGTTGCGGTTATTAAACTTTATTATATTTTAAAATCTAAAAACTGTAAAACATGGTATTTATACGAACACCTGAGGACTGTTCAAGTGGCACAGCATCTTCACACTGACAGTTTGAAAGAAGGACAAGTTTAAATTAGAATCTTGTCTTATAAGACAAAAGAAATAACACGGACGAAAAAGCCCTTTAAATCATATACGCCCAGTAAATAGTTGCATTTGCTTATAAAGTACACTTGGTTTTCTAAAAAGAAAACGTACAATCTTACCCCTGGTGAACATCTTACTGGCATTTATAACAAATGGCTAATACAGTTAGCACCATTTCTCATAGCTTATAACATTTCACTAAATATTATACAATATAATGATGTAATAAATAAAACAACAATGAACATGTTCCATGTGAAAGTTCTGATTTTTAAAATAAAGTTTAAAATGACAAATCAGAACTGATGTACCTTCCAAAGTTTAGTAGGATAAATGGCTCAGAAAGGAAATTAACTAGAAACATTGCACAAGACAGAACTTCCCTGTATGGAAACCCTGAAGTGTGAGCGATGTCAAACGATGTGCATATGTTTTACAGAATAAAAAAACTCACTATATGTAGAGTTGATCTTTACCTCTGTGGAAGTGTAAAGTGCCATTTTAAATTAAAAAAAAGATTTACTTGGGTGTATACTTCAGATACAGAACAAAATATAAATATGAAACAGTACCCATATGAGGAATAAACAGATAATAAAACACATGTTTAAAAAACTTGGACATAGGCATCTTCGTGGAGAGATGTGAACAATGAATGCCTAGTTAAATGTTGAAGCTTAGACAAAATAAGGAAGTTTAAAAATAAAACATATTAATTGAAAAGAATATAGTCAGACTCCATCCAACCCACCCTTGTAGTGTAATATCTCTTGCATAAAATGACTATCTACCTTATAATTTTTTTCATTAGAGAACCCGTCAATCCCTCCCTGACTACTTTCCCCTTTGGGATTTGGCTGTTTTGGTTTTACATATAAACATTAACCAAAATGAAAGGTGTTTCTCTGTTTCCTGCATGAAGTGTAACTAACTGTCTGTAAACTATGCAAGGAAAATAATGCAAAGAACAAACCACCAGTCTGACTATGCTAGTGCTAACATGTTAAATGGCTTCTAAAGGACTAGACTGGACGGTCCCAGGGTTCTGTGATTTTGGATACACCGTATTTTAGAGGAACCTTCTACACAACAAAAACTTCTAAGGGCAGAGAGAAAAGGTGGCATTGGTCTCCCTAGAATTAAGTCCAATCTAATTTACACACTTTTTAAATTGTTGAGGTATCTGTCTGTCTTTAAGCATTTCAATGTAGTGGCACAGCTTCAGAGCTGTCCCCAGCTTAAGCCCCATGTACTTCATCATCATGTCATTCTTGAGCAGTAGCAGAGCTTTCCCATCAATGTCCTACAGAGAGAAGGAAATTAAAATAATTAATAAAGCTGTCATATTTTGTCAGAATGGTTCTTCCTTTCTATGTAAGAACATGTAACACCAATTAGAGGGCAGCTCATTCCAGATGTATATTCTCTGAATATGCAACTGCTTGATGGAAACTATTAAAAATCTAATTTGTACAGTGAAGCATCACTTAATCATCTGTAAATTTGCTTCAAATTTTAAGAAAAAGGAAATTTAACCTAATATCTTAAAAACGTCCTAAGCATCAAACTACCTAATTTTAAATATCGTGTGTTGAACAAAATACTGCATAGCTGTGACAAAAAGTAAAAACTATGAATGGTAAAAATGAATTTCAGATGGTCACTAACTTTCTTAGAAGGGCTGGGAACATGAGTATGTCAGCTATAAGTGTGCTATACAGTGCTATCTTAACACTGAAAGCGAATCAGTTGTCGGAAGCTAATTAGATGCTAAAAACTAATTACTGGTTTTCTTACCATATTGAAAAGGGTACATCAGATATGTGGGCACTAATTTTATTCATTAGGAAACCCTATAAAAAACATTACTTGATAGTCACAAGGTATCCTCCAAATGTAAAAAAGAATTAATTGACCAAATGATGCTGCTGAAGCATATTATTTGGTTTTCACAAGTTCTGGTTTAAAAATAAAACTGTACTGAATCATATATCACTGGCTGAAGGGACCTGAAATCCCTCACAGTACTGCCTTTGTCAGGTACCATCTATACATTTTCTACTAAGTAAAACTAGAAATAAAAGAAATTAGAATTTAAAATTTAGCCCATGATGTTACTTTGTAAATGGCATAAGGGTATCAGCATTCCAAATCATCAATAACCATATAAGGTCAACAGAACTGAGCCAAATGGAATCAGTTGCTGGATTCATCGGGCATCATAACAAGGAGGACACCCTGTCACAGCTGTGGTCACCCCTCCTACTCACGGTCCTCGGGCCGAGCAGGGAGCAGGTGGGGAGGAGGATCCTTGCAGCTGTTGTTAGAAAGGAGAAGAAACCTGAGAGTGGCCATGCCGAATCATCTTCTCTTGAGAACTTGAAGACTTGTAGTATTTTAGGTACCCGGGTACCCATTTAAAGCACAGATCCAGCCTCCACCCTTTAAGGCTTTAACTTTGGGCAAAGTAAACTTTCTCGCATATGGAATAATCAGTTGATAGGGTTCCCCCACCATCCACACTAATCAGTACCCAACTGAAGGGCCTGCACAGAGGTCATTCAAAGTCATTACGGCAGGAAAACCGGATCAAGAGATACATTACATGTTGCATGAAGAGGTCGGCGAGGGCGCTTGATAACTGAGGATCTACGTATTTCAGAAACAGGATCACTTCATCCACAGACCAGGTTGAAGGGTCATCAGGGAGGCTCTGTTTGAGGACACCCGGGTCACTTCCAACTGGTGAACTTGGAGCTTCAATGGGGGGAAAAAAGACAAATCATACTTGACCTGATCATTATCCTGAAAGAAGAGATGTTAGGTAGGGAGTAATTGTCTCATTCCTGGAACCTTGTGTGAAGTACCCCGGCATGGACCCAGGACTCCAAGGTAAAATCCAGGGAAAGCCCAGACAAAGATGATCTGAGGATGGCTACTCAAGAATGTCCCACCTGACCTCCCCCAAACAACAAAAGCAGCTTCGGAAGACACCTTAAAGCTTCAAAGATCATAAAACAGACTGAGCAATCTGAGGCCTCTTGGGCCACAGGCAAAATACAGCCAAAGATCTGTTACTTGGGTTAAATTAGTTTAATCTAAGATAACCTATTGCTCTCTTACTTTGAGAGAAATTCTTTGAAATACTTAATCTCTGTCCTCTTGGTCTCTCCAGAGGAGGTTTATTTTCCTAGCTAATTGCAATGGAAATCCCCAGAATTTAGTTTTATAATTGCTTAAATTATTCACTTTAATCAGTGAATTTCAATAACCCCCATTATCTTTGAGAACCAAATCAGTTCTTTACTGAATCTCTTCCATGGCTTTAAAATTAACGTCTCTCGAGGCTTAAAGGTGTATCTGAATTTTGAAAACAACAAGACTTCTGCTCAGCTAGGTCAGAAGTAACTTTAACATTACACTGAATACCTCTTTCAAGTTTTACTGCATGGTAATAGATATTTTGGTTGAAGGTTTATGTTTAAAAAAGAAATAACGTGAGGCATGAGACAATTTAGGTGCTCATACCTCAAAACGTTTTAGGTGTGCCATTCACTACGTTGTACTGAAACTTCTTTGTGTCCAGACAGGTACTCATTTACTCAGCCAGAGTGCTCGACTCCCTAAAGTTAGCGTGTGGTAACGGAAGCGGCTTTTGTAATTCGCCGGACCGTCAACACAAATCTGACCTTTGTTCCTGTGAATTAGCCTAAAGTGTACCTTTTCTCTCCTGTCATCTGGGCTCTGGCCATTTTAGGAGCATTTTAATTATTTACACAGGGAAAGGGTAAGGAAAAACAGAAGATAAAAAACTCACAATGGGATCATTATGAGTACTAGTGGAGAAGAGGCCTGTCCGTTGACTGGCACAGTGCAGGCACATCACAGACACTCAAGAAGTCTTAGTCATCGTTCAGAGTGCTGCCCCAAGCTAGCCCTCAAGATGGGAAACAAACAGCTTCCACAAGCTTGCATCAAGGGTGTTGAGGAATATAGGGTAAATAATGCTACTTGTAACATGTGTCAGTTCACACTCACCGAAGCTGGTCGGGACGTAGAGAGGTGAGCCAGCCTGGCTGAATCTATTGTTTTCCAGTAAAGCTGGGTAGGTCATCATTGCAGGGCTATGTGCTGGACTGCGTTCACTCTGGGTCAGCACGGTTGCAGGCTCGACTGCAGTGGACTGGGTGTCTAAGAAAAGACTGCGGGTGTTGTGGGCCTCTGGACTGGAGGAGCCCTGCGTGGGGTCCTCGGGCGAGTAGTACTCCTGGTAGGAATGCCTGCGGTAGGTGGAGGGGACCGTCGGGCTCAGGCTAAGGCCTTGCTCCAGATCCAGAGGCATCCGGGACTCAAAAGGTGCTTCTAGAGGGTTGCTCTCGGAATCATTTTCCGGCCTTTGTACTGGAATTGTGGGGCTATAACTTTTAGGGCAAGGCAATGGAGAGAGACACCGCTTCTTCCTCATTTTCTGGTATCTGATCTTTTTAGAAAGCAGGTAATTATAATCTTTAAATGTATATCCAAGTGGCTTCTGAAATGACACAAACCCAGCATAAACCAACTGTGAGTGAGTGAAAGAAAAAGGAAATAAATAGTAAATACATCCATAATTACTTTCCATGGAAGATTGCTTTATATTATTAAAGATAAATGCTCTATTTTGATTACGTGATTTCCTCTTCAACCCTACATTTTAATTGCACTTTATGTATTACGGTTACAAACATAAAAATACCCATTGACGTACATTTCTCAAACGTAAACTTCAGCATTCTTCCGGCAGAGGTTTAGTCTCCCATCTGCTGCTACAGCAAGTATAGATCAGCCTTGCTTATCTCACAGTTACTAGTTCTCTCTCACTTCTGACTGGCATCTTTAGAAACCAGAGGTTTATTATAGTTTTGAAAATATTTTTATAACACTTACACGACTTTGCAACCATGACTTCACACGAAAACGGTTGATTTTTGTAACCTTTGCATGCATAACATCAAACTTCTTATCCAGTTTTTGAATAGCATCATAGATGACCTATTATAATACAGACTATTAGTAGTTTCTACTTCAAAAGGAAAGGAACATAAAAAATACCATTAAGCCAAAGTCAAAGTCTGAAAGTTTTCAAGCCGTCAGAAATCTCTTGTTTCCCACTTGATGCCTGGCTGTTGGGGACCCAGAGCCGAGCTGGCTGAGATAAGGCGTGCCAACCTCCCACTCAACTACTCCATGTCACACAGGCATTTTACGAAGCTTGAATACTGGGAAGTAAATGTACCACAATTCCTATAAGCCATCACATTTATGATGGAGTCATTTTACATCAAGGAAGGTGCTACTTTAGGAAAGAAATTTTCAAATCTGCTAAAAGGCCAAAGAGCCTCTTTCCATATAATGATGGTATAACCTAATAGGCAGTGAGGGGTCCACTCTGGAAAGAACAGTGAGCCAAATACAACAGATGTGACCTTTGGCTTCAGAGTACTTTAAAGTCATGCAATTAACAATTAACCTTACAAAACCTTTGAGTACGCGACCCCTGTATGCCAATCAAGTATGTGACTGATAAAACCGGAGAATTCTTGAAATACACAGAAATTTCATTCGGGCAAAAATACACTTAAAAGGCCAGAACCATTAATTACATCATTCATTCAAAGAAACATTTATTGAAGGCCTACCACCTGTGAGAACTACTTTGCTAGATGCTGGGAATGTGGACATTAAAAAGAAAAGAAAAAGAAAAAGAAAAAGGAAGAAAAAAACAGCTCCTACCCTAAGGAACTCCCATTTTAGCTGGAGAGAGACAAGTAAAGAGACAAGGTCAACAGAGAAAGTGATCGGCCGCCTGGAGCAGTGGATTTCAGTGTGCTCCGTGGACCAGCAGCATCAACACCATCTACGAGCTTGTTGGAAATGAAAAATCTCCCACCTCAGATCTACTGAATTGGGAACCCTGAGATGGAGGGCAGTGATCTGTGTTTTCACAAGCCCTCTAGCTGATTCTGATGCACGATGAAGCATGAGACCCACTGGCTCTCAGCCCTGAATAACTAGCACAGGCTCTAGGGGAACACAGTTGGGTTCACGTTACTTAACTTCTCTGTTGTTCAATTTCCTTATAAATAGAATCGGGATGAAATCCTCTCTCAGTTCTGTTGAGGACAAAACAACGTGCTACAGTATTAATACCAACATAATAATAATAGTGCATGATGACTGGTCTGACAGTGCTCAACCATCTATTAGTAGTATTATTGCCACGATACAGATAAGAACAAGAGGCTAAGCGTGCACAGAAGAGCAAGACCTAATCCAGCCTGACAGTCGTGGCAGGATTTTCAAAGAAGGAGGTATCTGCGTTGAGAATGAAAAGATGAGAAGGTGTTCACTAGGTAGAGATGTACAGAGGAGCATACAGGGCAGAAGGAACAGTATATTCTAAAATACCCAACAAATTAGGAGTATGGGATTAACTGATATAAACTACTATACATAAAACAGATAAACAAGGATTTACTGTAGAGCACAGGGAATTATACCCCAAATCTTATAATAACCTATAATGGAATATAATCAGCAAAACCCCCGAATTACTATGCTCTACACCCGGAACTAACACAACATTACAAATCAGCTATACTTCAATAAAAAATATTAAAACAGAAATTAAAAACACCCAAACAGAAAACAGGAAGTCAAATGTTTAGAAAGTGAACATAAATGACGATCAAAGAGCTGGGTTACGATGGGAAGGAGAGAGAGAGGATGACAGCTATAGAGGGATGGGAGGCAAAAAGAAGTGGTTTTTTTAAACCTGTGGGAGAATGACTACGCTGCGAGTGATGGAGACAGAGGCTGAAGACACAAGAGACAGAGGGATGAAGGGAGGTGTCTGAGCACAGGGAAAGAGGGTCAGATGCAGAAACCAGCAGAGGTGTTAGCCTTACAGAGGAAACACTTTCCCCACTCCAGTGGTCAGGAAGGAGGTCGTCAGAGATGGATCCAGGCAAGTGTGAGGGCTGTGGGGAGAGGAATCAGGACTTGGAGGGGATTTCTGCTCCACACCCTCCATTTTCTCCACGAAATAAGAGAACAGGATCGGGGTTGTCTGAGGATCACCAGTCCCCAGTGGAAGTCCTCCCCTCTGCTTCCCAGCCTGGACAGGGCTGGGGTTTTACTAAAGGGGGTGCTGGGCGAGGATTAAAAAAGAACAGATGGAGGTGCTGCACCGTGTGGTCTAGACTGGTAAGGGAAGGCGCCGAAGAAAGGAGGGAGCTAGCACATTAGGAGAAATGGAGAGCATCCCTTAGCTGTGACTTTGGAACCTGGGCATGTCTTAGCGGAGATACTCTATCCCAACACATCTTGCACAATCGCTCAGAAGGCCCTGGCAGAGCAGTGTCAACCCAGTTCATCGTGGAAGCTGATGTAAAGCAAGCAGGGGAGAGCACTGCTCAAAAATCAGAACTCCCTACGTCGTCCCTGCATTCCCACTCTCTGTACATCCTTCCCCGGAAGACAAGACACGTTCCCTTTAAGTATTCCACTGCTGTTCTCTATAATGATAAAGACTCCCATAAACATTTTTTACTTTTCAAAGTATGTTCATTGTATTCAAGAAACCTTTTTATATGTTAAGAAACATGTATTTGTTTATAAATGTTCATTGCTTCTAGGGTATGCCGCTCACAAAATCCTTGATAATTACATACTTCTATCAATCTCCACCAACATGTCAATTTTTACAAAATCCCCTCAAAAGTATGGAAGATAAACTCTTTAAAGAATGGTGGGCTGCCATTTTGTTTCAATTGAGATATCTTGACATGCATTTAGGCACATACTAAGTTTTATCCAAATCAGCCAACTTCCTTTAAAGATTTTGTAGGGGAAATTAATTCAGTATTGAGCAATTTAGATGAAGGAGACATAACTATTATACATTTCATCAGTTAAGGGCTTTTACAAAAGGCTATGAAACCTCCATATTGCTATTTCAAAACTTTCACCTGAATATGCTATTCTAACTAGAAATTGTTTAAAAAAATCATCACAATGAGAGCGATAATCATAAGCAATTTGATACAGCAAAATTTCAATTGTCCACCTCTTTATATGATATAAAGAGAATTTAAGCTTAATATTTTAGAAAACTACATTTGAGAGATAGAACTTTTTGTACCTGGCAGTGAGTAAGGACATTCAGAATTGTTTTTTGTTGCTCTTCGTTGCAGGATGTGTTAGACACGACACTTCCCTGCTGATATTTTAAAAATTGAGTAGTTAATACTTCACTTCTATGAAAGTCAAACTGAACAGTAAGTGGGGAAAAAACACTATTTATTTAACTTGCTTTTATTTTTCACTAGTTTTTCAGAGAGTTTCAGAAATATTAATCTAAAGCAGAGACAAAATAAAAAAACTCATGTTATTATGAGAATGAAGATGATCACTGCTAATTAAGAAAGGGATTAAGCAAAGAATTTATTATATCAGAAGGACGGAGGTTTAGAATTTTGCACTGAAAAAAATGAGTAAAAACTGTTCTGAATTTTCTACAAGGAAAAGAGGGAAGTGAAATGGTTAATTGCTCATTGTCTAATGAAAGGAATCAGACAAATTCAGGAGAGACTAATATTTTCTTGAGAGTGAGTTTACAGGAAGTCTATGAAGAATTTTTTCTTTAAAGTGGTTAAGTGTTAATATATTTGGCAAATGGCAATTAACATTACTTACATTATTGAAATATGCAGTATTTGGTTCATATGCATAAAGAACAGTGTTACCATCATCATAAGTAGAGATTCGTGTTCTTATCTAAGGAAAATTTATTAATAAATTAAAAGGAAAGACGATAGAACTTAAAAACTGAGGACTTCAATTTCACTTTCGAGAAGCTCCAAAAGCCAATTTGTGATATCAAGGGACCTTTGTAAATACTATGACTATAGGAAAAGATGTCCTTGCAAAACTGTTTTCTCATTAACTTAACCACACTTAAGACATCGTTTTCCTCTTGTGTACCTCAGGGTAGAAAGACTATTCTTCTAGTAATCTGGCAGCAGAACTGCTGTAAAAGCAAGTATTTCTAACTACAAAGAATCCTGTTCATGGCTTTTGATTTTTAAATAGACCAACAGTACCACTCTGTGGACAAAATAGGAAACACTTAAGCAACTATCTTTTTTTTTTTTTTTCCCTGTACTTGGAGGCTTGTGGGATCTTAGTTCCTCCACCAGGGATAGAATGTTGGAGTCCGAAGCACTGAACCACCAGGGAATTCCCCACACCTATGTTTCTTGATAAATTAATCTCTAAGTCACCTAAAACATTTTGGGGGGAATAAGACAGTGCATAAGTAAGTAAATAGACAGTAAACAGCCATTACATTTCACTTAATAACTCTTTATTCTAAGAATGGATTATGAACTATAGGAATAATTTTAAACCTACATAGAAGTATGTATGTCTGTTTCAAAAGACAAAATAATGTGGAATTGGGCTATATATTAATACTTATAAAAATATACCATGTTACCTTTGTATAGGTATGCTTTGTATAGGTATGCTTTGCAAAGTGCTTTCACATAATTATGTGAAAAGAGTCAGGAGAAAAAAGGACTCTGGGTAGGTAGTTAAAATTTAAAAACTTGCACACAAATGTTCATAGCAGCTTTATACATCAGTGTCCAAAACTCATGAACTGTATATTTACAACCTCTGCATTTCACTGTACAAAATTCAATTCAATTTAGAAAAAAAATAGAACACAATGAAAAGAACAAAGACAGATTTTCAATTTGAAATACAAACCACATCGACTTCACTGGAGCAGCTAGACATCTTTTTTGTGCAACCAGAGCAACTCCACTTTCTCTGAGTTGGGCCTAATTATTTTTAAACTTGCTGGAGGGTTATTTGCGAAACTCCTTGGTCATGTAGGACTGGTAAATCTTCAATTCCTGAAAAGCAACGCATAAAAAAGTTACTTCACCCACTTATCGCCTTAATAAACTTAACATGGATATGTTCTCAGAATACCAACTCAAGTTGAATTGGAGTCCTGGCTGAAGTTTAGAGAGCGACAAAATGAGAATTCTTCCATTAGTGATTTAGAATAAACCTTTAAAAAGTGAAGGGTTTTATTGCCCACGCGTAGGAATAAGAATCCCGATCGAACACATTTCCAAATTGTGAAGCGGATGCTCCACAACCTAAAGGCTACAGAGTAAGTGCTGGAGACAAATGAACAACAGAGCATGAGTCCTAACTGCTTTTGTCAAGGAGCTCAGAAGCTTTTTACTCAGGGAGACTGCGGGCCTCCAAATGTGAGTCAGGAGTCTCTTGTGGCTTGGGCCGCCCACCACGGTGCGGCCTGGAAAGACCACTAAAGACATCGCCTCCTCCCCTGCTCGGTGAAAACTGGGTGAGATTACGTCTAAGGTCATTTCAGTGCTAAGATTATGATTGCTTCCGTAGTTAAATTTTAAATTAAACCTAAAGGACTGTATGTGAAAAATAAGCCAAAAACTCTTCTAGAATTATGTAGGCTCGGTTATGGTTCTGAGTCATTCATCTCTGCCACCAGGAAGACGTTGAGTGCAATGCTGTCATATCATATCTCGTAGTAGATTTGAACGCTGGCATCACAGTACTGGGAGGGGCGTTAATGAGAGAGCTAGGTTCCCTTTATCCATCCTGAGCCAGGGCAGGAATGAGGCGGAATGAAGGGAAAAGTAACTCTCAAGTTAGACAAATGCAGTCTAATAATGTGGAATAAATTCAAGTTATTAAATACCTCCAATTTGAGCTGTAACTTGAACCAAATTTTACTTTTTAAGACTATGTTTATTTTTTCTGATTATACAACTAATACAAGTTATGAATACTTAAACTGGTGTTTTCATACAAAGGAAGACTACACAGCTATGAGAATAAACCAATTATTGCTACACACAGCGAGGAGGACGCATCTCAGGAATCTCAAAACTACAACCTTGAGTAAAAGCCAGACCCAGAAAAGAATACAGTGTATGAGCTCAAAAAGAGGCAAAAGTAAAAGAAGTCTTTCTAAATTAATAACTTTAGATATACCATAGTCACTTCAACTTCTTCGTTTCCTATCTTGCAAATAGGCCATGATTTATTTAACTAGTCCCAAGTCATGGATATTCAAAAGTCACTCCTCAAGCCTTGCTCTTACAAAGAACACTGCAGAGCAGGCTCCCACCTCTACCTGAACTCACACAGAAAGAGAATAGTGAGTTAAAGCTTCCCAACTCTGGGGACCATTTCTTATACTCTGTATTTCTAACAACTTTGTTTTAGAGATTTAAATATATAATTTTTCTTTAAATTTGAACTATGCCACAAAGTACAGATAATAGCATCTAACAGATTTTACTGCTTACTCTGTGTCAGGCAATGTTCTAAGCACGTGATGTATGTTAATTCATTTAGCATTCCTGACAAGCCTACAGGGCAGGCTCTATTATCATCCCCATTTTCCTTAAGAGAAAACTGAGGCAAAGAGACTTCAAGTAACCTACCCAGGTCTCATAGTAAGTAGTGCAGTACGACTCCAGAGCCTATGCGCTTTACTTCTTCATTATTAAAATCACCTGGAATCCCTTTTCGACAAAGAACAAAATAAAATCCAGAACTCCTACCATGGCCTACAAGGTCTTTACAGTCAGGTGCCTCCACACTGCTCAGAGGTCACCTCTTATCACTTGTCCCTTTGCTCTAAGCCTAAGATACTTACTAGGTGGCCTTTTATAGACAAAGTTTGCCAACCATTGTTAGAGACTCTGACAGACAGTTCCCTAATGGCTTAATTACAATGCTGCTAAAACTCGGCAAGAACCACTACTCGGCAAAACAGGGCAGATTGCAGTAGCCAGACCCCTCCACATTTTTTTTTTTAAACAAGACCGTGTCAATACACTGATCACTTTCTAAAAATCCTGTCAGGACTCTCAAAAGCAGCCGTATCAAACTTCAGCGGCTACGGAGTCGGCCAGGGCTGGGGGGGGGGGGGGGGGGGGGGATAATGCCGTCCAAACTGCATCCCCATCACCCATCAGGGAATCGAGCCCATGCCGTGCTTTATAAAACACCGTGCAGAAAAGTTGCTCGTTAAATCACGATTTGTAAACATTAAGCCAGTTTAAAACTCTAGAGCAGTTCGACTTCAGGGAGAGCCAGGTAAAGGGGGGGCAGCGATCCCCAAGAGACGAAGATATCAAACTACCGTGCTCAATCCACATCTTTCCTTTGTTTAGCCTCGCGTACGTATTTACAACAGTGAGGCTGCACTGTCTGATCAATCGCGGTTACCATCCAAGCCTCAGAATCAACGTTTGCACCTCAAAAAATGTTACAACGAACCAACTCGCTAGTTAATAGATTTTCCAAACTCAAAATTCTAACAAGTCTGAGAGCCTTGGTCGTTCGTCGCCCCCTCACCCACCAAGGAAGAGAAAGGACGAAAAAGGATCAGCTCTTAGAAAGTCGGCACAAACCACTCAATAAGGGGCCACATCTCAAGCACCTACGCGCTAGCATCCCGGGAGGGGCGGTGGGAACCACTCCGAATCATCCCCAAGCCACCCCAACTGCAGCGCGGCTGAAACTCCGGAGTAGACTCGGTCTTTCCGAAAAGGCAAACCCTTTCTCTTCCCTCAGGCAAACCCTCCTCCCCCGCCACCCCGCTTCGGAGCGCCACAGCCGTGAAGTAAAATCCCTCCTCACCTGCTTCAGGCGCACATCTAAGACAAGAAAGTTCAAAGGGAAGAAAAAGTGTCACCTGACAGACCTTTGCTGGCGCAGAGCCCGCCAAATCGGCCTCCGGAGGGCGCCGGACGCAGGTAGCAACGGACGGCGCCTCTGCCCGGGCGGCAACTGCTGTAAAGGTTATCAACGCCTCAAACGGTCCTCGCGCCGGAAGTACGGCCCGCCCACGTGACGCGCCGGCCGCGAGCCCCACGGAAGCTGAGGCGCAACGCTCGTACCTGTGAGCACCCGAATACTTAGGTTCCCACGCGCGCAGCCGGTCGCTGACCAATCAGCGGCCGCTACAAGACACGCCTGGGCCGTCAGCCGACCAATCCAGCGGACCTCTGAGCCGTTGCAGGGGAGCGGGCGTCGCTAGAGCGACTGCCAAGGGGAGAGGCTTTGGTTCCCTCGGGGCGGCCGCACTTCCGGCCTCTGAGCCCCTGAAGCTCGGCGTTGTTCGCTGGGGCTGGTGGGATCGGAACCCCGTGCCAGACTGAAAACACGAGCCTCTAAGGCTGAGAGGGGTTTAGTGCGGTTGTGCAGGAGCGCCGGCGCGCGCGACTTTTTCTGTGTTGGAGCGGGTTTAAGGAGGCGGCTCTGGGGGGGTGAGGCGTTTAGGTGCGTGGCCTCCCCACTCTCGGTTAGTTCTTTGAAGCTTTTTTTTTTTTTAAATGTAATTCCCCCCTTTTCCTCCTCCTTCCCCGTCCCTCTGTGACGCACCCCAGACGTCGACATTGACTCAATCCTAGGCGTGCACGTCAGTGCTGGAGTTCGAAGGGGGAGGGAGCGGGAGCGGGGCTTTAGCAATTGTGGTTTGGTACATACCGGGAAAAGTTATTTTAAAAAGTTGTTATCTCTCCACAGGGTGAGGTAACACAGACCTTGGAGCCAGATTTGCTGGGTTTGTACCCCAGCCCCAACAGTTAAGCGCTCTGTGGCTTTGGGCAACTCAGGTAAATGGCTCTGTGCTTCAGTTTCCCCATCTGTAAAATGGGCACAACGTGGGGGGATGCTTCATGAGTTAAGAGTCGGCAAAGCACTTAGAACAGTATCTGGCACATAAGTTTGCGTAATAAAGGGTACATGACATTACTTAGTGGCACATCGAGGTTGTTCATCTGAGGAAGGAGGCACAGTCTGAGTAATTATCAGAAGCAAAGCAGGTAACTTTAAAGTAAAGCCATAAATATTTTTCGGGCCTGGAGAGGTACAGGAAAGTATACTGGACACTGGAAATGTATTCTTTCTTCTCTCAAATACAAAGCGAGATCGGAGCCGGTTACAGAGGTAGTATTCATTATATCGTTATTATTTTGCTCATACTTTTGCCATAGCAGTTCCCCTCCCATATGTCCAGACCCGTATGAAACACTTGCCGTTTGTTAAACCCCAGGAGTGCAATTACATAGCAATGAAGAGAGCAGCCAGTTGTTTAATTGCAGTCACGTTTATTTGCAGTTTCTATACACACTTTCTAGGTAATCAAACTTTTCTGGTACATTTTTTTTGAGAGGGGTTCACAATGAAACTGTCACCATTTTTACTAAAAATAAATACAAGACTTAAAGTGTTGCACAGCTCTAAAATATACAAAGGCTTGAATTGAATGTAAACGTTGAAAACATCTTACAAAAGAAACCGTTTTTGCAACGATTTAAAAAGTTCATATTTACAGATATTACAAAAATACAAAATGGAGGCAAGTCCATAAACCATTGTCTTTCGGCCAGCATGAACTGGTTCTAGTACCAAAAGAGTTACACTGTAACCTTCCTCATAGTTGTAAATCTTTGTCATGATCTAGTTCTTTCAGTCTGCCACCACTGCAGCAAATGTACTCACTGAACTTTGGCAAGAGCAAACAGTGTGTTTTGTTTGCTGCAACTGGTCCGTGTCCTCTACTTAGCCAAAAAAAATCAAAAAATCAGGAAAAAAAATTTCCCCCACACAACATAGACATGTTGTATAAACACAAAGGAAGAAAAAATTAGCATCAGTGCAAACAACAGAAGAAAAGTTTGGGTTGATGTTGTTCACAATACCTAATGTGTGTACCCTGCTTTAAGACGGCAGTGATGTTGAAGACAACCCTCTAAATCTTGGTCTTATGTGCTACGTGATAAAGCCATGTAGAATTACTAAGGAATTTCTTGCCTTTTTTTTTTTTAACTCAGTTTGTTACTCAATACTCTTTTGCACAGTGAATTTTAAATCCATCTTTATCTGGGTTTTTTTTTTAAAATCTATGAAATATAAAATAGAGAAACTCTGCTATAAATTTTTAGAGTAAACAAAATAAGTAAAACTATATTCTAAGGGTTAGTTCTGTGATCATTACATATAGAAGGTATCTTATTGCCTCACAGTTCAAGTCAATATGTATTTTAAAATATATATAGTACCATTACTTAAATTAACGTCAATAATAAGGTGACATATTTGTTAAAGCCAATTTGTGTGTTTTCTGTTCAAGATTTAGAATCACTTTTAAAGCCTACATACCTTTCTTTACTCTTAAAAAACCCCTAACTACACAAAAGCCGTACTGCAAACGAGCTGCTTTTATGAGAATTACAAAAAATCACCTATTGTGACTGGAAATGACTTTTTTTTATTGCATTTGTCTAAAAACCTTACTTTTAAAAGTTTGCCAAGTGTACTTTTCGAAGTATGAGAAAAAGTTATTCATGTTCCCATGTGGTGTCAAACCATGCTGGTTTTCTTAACTAATGGGTTCCAATGAGAAATGATGGTCCATTTTTTTCAAACCCCCAAACATTTTTCTTTTAGTAAAAGGTATAACACTTCGTAAATGTTCATATGTACGCTTTACCAGGTAGCTTATCTATCCCTGCACATGCGCGCGCGCGCGCGTGCGCGCGCACACACACACACACACATTCTCCCTCCTCTACCCCGCCACCCCCAGCACCCATTTTACATACGAGGATGACAAGAAATTAAGAAACACAATTTGATAGTGAAAACAAATAGGAGAATAAACCAGACATTTTTTTTTCTTTCCAAAGAAACAAACAAAAACCCAACAGCAATCAGATTCTGTAATTCTCACTCTGTAACATCTTAAAAAGTGTTTCTCTTGAAAGATAGCATCTTCTTAGACCAGGCTTTCTCCTTCATATTGCATGAACTAAACCAAAACCACAAACCCCCTTTCACACATCCTACTTTCCCAAATACCACTTGCATAAGCTTAAAGCCAGCTGCTTATCAACTTCTTGGTAACTCTGGTATGTTCTATCACTCTAATCACATTCTATTCTTTTATATAGGCCGTATTCCTTCTTAGTTCTCTACTTTCTACCTTCTCCCATTCAAAACATTCCAAGTACATAGCTGCTTATATTTCCGACATACCATTTCATACAGTATCAGTTCATGTCAAAATCACAGGTGTAAAACCCATTTGCAGATTTCAACTTGTAACTACATTTTTTTTTCAGGTTTAAGACAAGAAAATTCAAGTAATTCAGCTTGTTTCCCTGCCTTCATTTTATCAGAGCACTTGCCCTGACATTTCCTTTCCCACCCACCACCCTCCCCTTTTGCCATCAAGCAGATAGAGTAAAATCAGACAAAAACTCAGTTATATGTAGCATTGTGAACCAGAGCTGCTCCCCATTCCCATTTTAACAGTGAATTTAAATAATGCATATACACATACCTATTTCCCAACTACGTTGTTCACAGTGTCATTTCTGTTAATTTTTAGGTAGCATGAATCTCATCAGCACAGAGAGAAAGCTTCACTGAAAACTCACTGCAGGTACTTACCGATAAAGCCACAGCTCTGTGGCGTGCTTATGTTTTATTTTCGTTCGTTAAAGAACCTGGAGCTAATTGCTCAACTGTTTAAGGAGTTTAAAGATTCTAGTCCTCAGATTAGGACTGTTTATGTCCCCAGTAGTGTAATATAAAACATAACCTAAAATTAACTACTGTTTTCCCTACTCATTCTCTTTAAAGCAATCCACTGAAAAATTGAAGTTTAAAGGACACTGTCAAGTGCTGTTGTTCAGGGCTTTATGTTGAGAATGATGATTTCTCTCACTGATTTTTTTTTTTTTTAAATCGAAAGCATGCTTTTCATTCTGTCCGAATTACCACATGGCAAATCACAGCCACGTGTTACCAGTAGTTTGTTTGGTGCTGCAGTTTGTCACAAAAATGGTTAAGTGTGAATTCATTATTTTAAATTAATCACATTTCACTATATGACCTCAAGATTTCCTTTATTTCACCAGTTTAAAATTCATATTTTGAGGTTTATCACTCAGAAATCATATTGGTGGACATTTAAATATGGTATTTGATACGAAAATGGTATTCACAGAATACAATTATTACACTTTATTTGTTGTGTTCTATAAGCAGTTGGTGTGGTAGATAATTGGCCACATGTCCACTCGTCATCCATAAATCTATTTACACATTTTTATCAAAAATATGGTATTTACATGTGTGTAGTTCTTCTAAATTTTGCTTTAGTTCATTTTAATGTAAAAATATACCGAACCTCCAGAGTATTTCATCCTCTTAAGAATTATGACAGTGAGGGCTTTGTTTTCTGAATAGGCAGCTCTGGGAAAACGTTTTCTAGGTTTCATGAAAAGCAGACATTTTCAAATTCTCTATTATCAAAAGGAATGAGATTGGGTAAATCAAACTACCCTAAAGAAAAATATGAAAGACAGTGCAGCTACTTAAAAATATGGAAAATAATCAAGAAAGACCAAACCACCTTCCATTTCCCCAGCAAATATTTAGGAACTTGTTGGTAAGCGTGATGGTACCCCACCATGTGCTGACTTCTCCCCAGTCTTCCGTTCTGCTCCTCCATCCTCATATGACTCAGGTTTTGGCCTTTGACAGCCAGCCTGGCACGGACCACCTATGTTGAGCTCTGGGAGGATCGGTCATCATGTGGGCTCCCATCGGAATTTTCTGTCTCGCCTTCGGAGATGGCCTGCATGGGCGCGTTGTACAGCCTGCAGCGGACACTGTAGCGGCTGCTGCTGGCCGCAGGGGGAGCCCGGGAACGTCCAACCCTTGCCGATGCCGGGGTGGCAAAGTTCTTTGAGGAGAAACCTTCTGCATTAACCCGTGGGGAGCATGGAGAGAGGGGGGACAGCGCTTCAGTTCCCGGTGCCCCCTGAAGGGCCTCGTGGGTGCTTTGGGGGGACTCGGCTGTGAGTTCCCCAGGAGGTTTGGGCAGGATGGGACTCTTCAGGATCTCAGTAGCAGACATACGGTAACTGGAATCCGAGCGACTGCCTTTCTTGAGGAGTAATAGCTTAAACTCTTCATTCGATGTGTTGGACTTTTTGGCATTTCGGTAGATGAGGCCAGGAGACCTCTGGCTGTTTGGGGTGGTCACATTGCTGTTGGTTGAGGTGACAGAACCAGCACTGTTGCTGCTACTGCTGCCCAGGGAAGCTCTAGATTTACTTCGAACAGACATGTCCCCAGAATCTTTTCTTCCAAGTACTTTCCTCTTGGACCTTTCAAGAAAAGGAACAATCTCAGTCCACATACACTTTAATGAAACTAAAAGTGTTACGTCACACTCAGCCATCTCCTTAAAGAGCAGTTTGTTGTACCCTCTCTGATGGGATACTAAGCATTAGGGCTGTAGGGGTGAGGATTAAGATACGTTGCTTGCCCTCGCAGCACTCACACCCTGAGGGAAATTCTCCAGTAACCAGTGGATATGAATTAGGTTTTGGAAATGACCATTTCAAATAATGACTAATGTGGAGGCTAGAGGTTCTAGGGGAGGGCTTACTGGGAGTTTCACAAGAGCACAAGAAAATACTGCTCTCTGACTCTTGGTTCGAGTGTAGGTGGTAAAGGACTGTCACTTTTATTCAACCTGTCTCTGCAATACAGATGAAATCCTCTGATGTCTGGGATTGGCTTCCAGCGAATACCAGGAGAGCCAAGTGGAAGGAGGTGTGGATGGGACAGGACTGGCCATAGGCTGGTGGTTGATAGGCTTGGGTGATGGATATGTCTGTGTGTGTGTTTGGCTGGGGGTGGGGGCAGGCAGTGGTGCGTTATACTATTCTGTCTACTCTTAAAATTCCTCCATATAAAGAAATTTCTTACATGACTTCTTGAGTAAGTCAGTCCATTTTGGCTGCAGATACCATTTGCCATAGCTGCCCAGGAATATCTGTCTACAGTGTATTAATCACTAAGCCAACTTTCTGGAGGAGCTGGAAACCTAGACCCCCTCTGGAGCTCTTAAAGCTCTGTGCACTATAAACTCTCAAGAAAAGAAAACTTTTATTGTCACTGTGCTGCACATAAATGAATAAACAAACAAACAAATTCTGCATAAATGTAAATCTAAGATTACCAAACTCTGTAAGTCTACCAAACCTAGGCACCCAGCCATCATTATTATATTATTTCTTTTGATAAATAAACAGGCATAAATTTCGTGAACTTAGTCACTGAGTCAGCATGACTCAGTTCATTGCTACGTACTGGCAGCATGCTTTCTCACCAACCTAAAAACCTGTAGGTTAGAGAAAATGTCAGTTGTGCAATTGGACTCCAGCCTGATTATGGTTCACTGAAAGCTTCGTGGTTGCTATCTCGTGTATGCCAGTGTCTGGCACTCTAATAGGGTAGGGATTTCAAACTAATGTCTGCTTTTAGCATCTACCGTATTCTAGACACAGACATGATATTTTATCATCAAAACTGAATATGTGAGCTATAGGTATCCCCAGTTACAGCAAGGGAAATAGGTACACAGGTTTTAACTGACTCAAGACTGGACAGGAAGTGGCAGCACTGGGATTCAATTCCAGGTCTTCCTGACTCTACTCCTTACATTCTGTCCACTCTTCAAGACACTAGCATTTGGTTTTTTAACTTCACAGCATTTAATAACTTGTCCTGAGGTTGGGGATAAAAGGGGGTGAGGAGAATATAATCAGGGACAAAGAAAAATAATGATTCTACACCCTCCAAGTGGAGAGGTGAGCCTGCCAAGGTCTACACAGAATGTGTTTGTGATTGGCTCGTTTAAAAAAAAAGTTATTGAAGGGCAGTGTTCCTTCTTTATGAGAGAACCACATCAACAGAAAACACAAGTTCCCCTAAAAAGTAGGATCCTGGGAAAAACAGTGGTAAGCTGCTTGTAAAGAGCTTGCTTCAAAGAGTATAACTTCATGAGGTAGACAGGACAGTCCCCAAGCTTCGTCCCTTGGGAGTCGCATCTAGGTCACCAAGGCCTAGTGAAGTAGGCAGTGGCAGCTGTGAAAGGAGTAGCTATGTTATGACTGGATAGCTCAGTCTGATATGGGTTCAGTTTCCAAGGGCTGGTTCCTGTTTCGTTCTTCGATCACAGGTTGTAAGGAGTATTCTTGCACATAGGGGCCTTGATCACAGGGGTCCAGGGGTCAGATGAGAGAATATGAATGGTCAGCATGGATGCAACACTATCCTGGAAAAGCAGCCTAGAGGACATCCCCTATTCATGGGATATGGAGCATTACAGTTAGAGAAGGGCAGTGTTATTAAAGAAATGTAAGTTTTAGGAAGAGAGGGAGGAAAGGGAGCAGTGATTAGTTGTGAGCTATGAAATGGGCAGGTTTATATACTGTTTTGTCTCAAACTTGGGGCTGTGTTTAGTGAGTCACCTTACATTTATCCCTGCTAGTGTAGGATTATAGCTTTGAGCATGTGTTTTTAGGTTAAGGAATTATTTAAATGTCAGAGATTACACTAGAGTTGGAGCTTTCACCCTTAAGTTACTTGACCACAAATTGTTTTCAAATTAAAAACTTGTTTCAGAATGTCTTTCCTAGGGAAAAAAACAACAGCTTCCCTCAGCAGTTCTTAGGAAAGTCTCTCAACTGAGGTCTACCTAACTGTATATAAGGCCACATATTTCCCAACTTGAATATGTCTATCAATTTGATTTGGAAAAATAATTTTTCTTTGCTTGCTTATGTTTTTTGCTGAATGTATTACAAGTACCCAGGGCTTTTCCATATTCGCATTTGATGAGAAGCACGTAAGAAGCAAAACCTTTGGTATTGTTGCCTCACCTGTGAATGACTGCAAATAAATCCTCCGTCGTTCGAGGTTTATTTGGAGACACAAACACACTTTCTGCTTCAGCCTGAGAGTCTTCACTTAGTGGTGAAATCACAGAGTCATCACTCGGTGACGATTCTTAAATTAAGAACAAAAGCATCTTTAGGAAGAAGTCACCCAGCACGCTGCTGGGCTTCACTGACTCAGGGAACAACTAAGCAACAGTTACCTGACCACCATTTTTAAAATGAAGGAGCTGTCTGTCACACTTAGTCCCTCCATGATAAAAGCTTTTATCTTAATTGTTTTAATAAGTGAAAAGAAGGAGGGAAACCAATACCCAGGGCTGTACTGTATTATGGGGAAGGTAAGAAAGAAAAACTTCAGGAAGTGCCACGAGACACCTTCCCATTGTGACAAAGGTGTCAACAACTGACCTTTCAGTGAAACCTCATCCACACTTCCTTGGGTCTCCTCTGCTGCTCCGCTGTTATCAGAGGCACTTTTGGCTGAAATACCTGAAGCAATATTTTCCTGCTCAGAACATTTTTCAGGGCATGGATTTACAGTTGATATCTCTGCTTCATAGCTGATATTCCCAGGCACTTTGTCATGGTGGCGGCTCATCCCAAGTTGATGCTTAAGTTGATTGCTTATGTCTGTGACTCTAGTTGGTGAGTTTGACTGAGATGTGAGCACGTCCACAGACAC